AAAAGCTAAACCCCAAAACCCTAAGCGAGCCTTCATCTGGGGTTCTTCCGCGGGACCTTCCAGGAGCTCGGCGACCTGGACCACAAGGACTCTAAAAGGGGGGGGGATTCCTCTCTTTGCTTTTGCAAAAACAGAGGAAGAGTGAGGATTGTTTTTCTTGCTTTTTTTGCCTCCGGCCTGGCTAGCACGAACCTACGATGCAGGGTCATACACGAGTTCAAGTTTTCGACTTGGGGTTTAGGGATAAATGAGGATAGATGAGGACATCTGATGATCTCTCACACACAGAGCCGTCGATGATGGGAATGAGCCACTCTTCGAGTTTCTCCCTGAACCTCGCCTCCCGGAAATAAAAGCCTTTCTTGCCAAGGTGATGGTCAAGACTTGGCTGGTGCTTGGTGCTGCGTGTGAGTGTGGCTGTTCTGGTTCCTGGCTTGAGGCTCCTTCGGTCCTAGTCCACAGTCGTCATTCTCTTTTCTGCCACACGCTATCGTCGTTTCCAGGCCCTGAGCGTAGCATTCCTGGCATCGTGGATCTGGTGCTTACAGCGAGGCTCAAAGTCGAGACGAGACGGAGTCCGACATGGAAGAGCCCATAAGGCTTATGACCCCCCCAAAAGAACTTTCGCTCGTCTGCGCCTCGTCCGGCTTCGCCTGGCGTAGGCTGTTGGTGCCTGTCACTTGCAGCTCCGAGGTGATGGGACCCTCCTTGACCACCTGTTGCAGATGACTTCATCTTACATTCGCTTTCTAGGCTCCTTGGCAAAGGTCTGGCCTTGAAGTAGCAGCGCATGATCTGAGCGAAGGCCTCTTCCGAGAGCTTGTTGCTTCCCGGCGCCTGCGCCAGTCTTCGCTTCGCGATCTTGCGCACCGGGGGGGGGGAGGATGGCAGCTAAGCAAAGGCACGAGAAGGCTCTTGAAGAGTCGAGAGAGAAGCTCATCTGTGAACTGCACGGGCTCCAGGACCTCAGGGCCAAGAGTCCGGCGGATCCGGGCCGAGTTGCGCTCGTTTTTTTGCGCATTTCCCTGGGTCCCGGCAGATTTTCTCGGAGCCTTTGGCTTCGAGGGAAGGGAAGGGACTGGCGGCTCCGGCAGCACCTCCTTGGCCGACGCCTCGCAAGGGACAGCACGGCTTATGTAGGGCTCACATAGGCAATGGAGGGCCGATCGAAGATACGGTAGGTACAGCTCCTCATCCAGAATGCCCCGCTCCATCGACATGAAGAAGAGCGAAAACTCCTGCACCAAGAACTACTCCACGTCCTGAGCCTTTTCTGCCCGTCTCCTCGCCCGTTGGCCACCCCCTTCTCCTGGGCATCGATTACGCCATCTCCACTGGCATCCATCTCGCTGTACCTGCCCAAAGGCGAACACTGCAAGTCAGATTACACGGATTTGTATAACACGAGCACCAATCATCTCAGCATCTGAGACCTGGCTGCCGGCAAAAGCAACAGGGCACAGTTGCTGCATGTTGCGGCTTCTCTGCGCTGCATAGAGCCGTGCGACCTTCCGAACTGGCACAATTGCAGTCAAGCTGATTGTCACCCTGATCCCTAAACCGTCAGCCTACTGAGCAAGCTTCCACAAATGTGTCTCGTTTTCAAGGCCTTGACGGCGAAGAGCCGCGCTCCGTAGAGTTCGGAGCGCTGCCTCTGCAGCACCTGCCACCCAGGAAGGCATTTTTGCAAGCTCTGATGCACTCAAAGAGACTCACATGGGTAGTCTGCTAAAGTAGGGTCCCTGTTTGGGTCTCCACTATAGTACGGCACCCTTATGACAAAGGACCCCCCAAAAGGGAGCCTAATTTAGAGAGCCAGCTACTCAAATGTCCAAGGAAGACATAACACCCCAAGCCCCTGGTGTCTCTCTCACCAGGGAGCCCGGCCTCACTGTCGAAGCGCCGGCACAGGTTCTCGATGCGCCGCAGCCGCAAGTCAAAGCGTGCCATCCTCGGAGGTTCCAAAAACCTCGCCTTGCATTTTTCAAGGCTATTTATGCAGATACACTCTGCTATACTATGGTATAGTCTAGTATAGTATAGTATAGTATAGTATAGTATAGTATGGTATAGTATAGTATAGGATTTCGGCGCTCTTCACACTCGATGCCAGGCGAGGTGCTCGCTGCCCAGTCGGTTGGAGGCTGGGGTTTCGGCTCCACATCGTAAGAAGGGCTTGGGCTTAGGGTTTTCTAAGGCTTCAGCGAAGCGGAGCCGTTGAGGCCCGGGCCTCTTGGAGAGAACCCGAAGATCGGGAATCAGGAGGTCCTGGCCAAACAAAAACCGAGAAGAAAGCTCAAATCCAAGAGAAAGCCTCGAAGCTTCGGGTGGCGCCCTTAAATGGGGCCTTTACATCTTCCAGGTGACGCTCTTCAAAGCCGCTAGGCAGGTCGTCGATCTTCTGCTGCACAGCACCGGCCACGTCCCGCGCATCCTTTCAAAGGATGCCGGGGCTTCGGTTTTCCTATAGGCTCTAGTCTGGAGATCTCTAAAAGTCAAAGCAAGTCAGGGAGATTGGCAACTGCGGCTGTGGTGTTGAACCGTTTCTGCGGAAACTTATTCCTTGTAATGATGTGGCCTGGTTCTCTCCGTCCATAGAACTGGGTTCGGGTTGCTTGCGTTGGCTTATTGCCATGGCAAGGAGCATCAGAATTAACGGAAAAAGCTGTCACAGGATCCTGTTTATGTCCCGGACTATCAGAGACCTAACCGCAACTGCTACTCAGCCCCGCCCCCCTGAGGAATCTAGTAGGGAGACCGGGAGTGTATGTCGGAATGTACATTAAGAATCACAGGCTGCCTGCAGAACAGCCTTGCATCCGGCAGTCCGAGCGGGAACGTCCATCGACTTCCGGGCCTCTCGCAGCGAAGCGCGGAGCAACTTCTCTGGGCGTTGCTCCGGTGTGTGGGGTTCAGGTTTGGTTTTACCGGGACTCGCCGGATGAAGTTCGCGGTTCACAGTCGGTCTCCGTCTCGAAAGACCTCTAGGCGTCCTCAGGCAGCATCGTTGATTGCGTCGACGCAGTCAGACGCTGAATCATACCGGGCATGAATCAACACACAGCCCCACAGCAAACGACCAGCGAAGTACCAGTATAACCCAGGCATCAATCCGCCTCTTCTTCGAGTGGAGGTAAGGACTTCTCGACTTTCACGACCGCCTCCTCGACGGCTTCGACATCCCGCTCCACTCTTTGGACCTCCCATTGGCGATTGTCGTGCCGCAAGAATCAACGAGGGTCTCCGAGAAAATGCCAGGGGCGGTGTAGGTTTCATGGCTTCGGGGCTTCAGTGCTTCTTGTTCAGGAGCTTAGTTCCACGTTTTCATGCAAATCATTTCAAGGCGCCTGGTGCGACAAGTCCTTTGAATCCTACGGGCCTTACCCCCTAACTCAGAAGTATTCAGAACAACGAGAACAGACAGCATCAGGACAGGCACAGTCAAGTAACCTGACCCGCGTTAATCGCTTACTCTCATGGTTTTACAAGAGAAATATCACCGTCTCAACTTCAGGAGGTGCGCTGCTCATAGGAGAACTGGGAGTTTCATCATCCCTCAGAAGCTTTTACAACTCTGGGGGAGTGACGAGAAGATGGCGTCTATTCCAAGGACCCGTTTGTGAAACTCTCACCTTGGAATCCCAAGCCGCCCCCGGCCTTGGTGTCAAGCTGCTCCCGAAGGACGGCCCTCACCTACCGACGCGAGTTGCCGCTCGCATCGGCAACCCTCAACCATCTACGCTCGCTCGTGCATGCATCGTAAACAACAAAACCACAAGCAAACACACAATCACACACACACACCCACCCCCACAGACGCACAAAGACACTCACTCACTCACTCACTCACTCACTCACTCACTCACAAACACTCACAGAGACACACGCACGCTCACACTTACACAGACTTACACACAAGCTGACACTTGGAACAACCCCCGATATAGCCGGAGCCGTAACACGGGCCAGTAATTACATCTTTTCATGCTTCATCTCAACTTGCACTGGACACCTCATTCCTGCACTGACTCTGATCGGCATCAGTTCTCTGGCTACTATGACGCAACAGCTGTCGGGGCAATTTCGGGATGGCCTTCTTGAGACACTCTGCAAGTACACAAAGATTCCATAACTTTGTTGGGCACGGTCAAGAATCCGATGCCGTGCCCCCTGCTTCACGCATAGTTGAACTGCTTGTGTGGACCCAAGGCGACAGGGCCTTATCTGCAAACGCACACATCTGCACAATAACCTTGCTTTATTTGTCTTTTTCTTGGCGAGTGGGTCAGAGCCTCAGCAGCTCTTTGCCTCGTGCCCCTGCTGATGGCATCTAAGAGAAAGATGTGATCATGTATCAGAAACCAAACCCCTTGCAATCACCCACCCATGGTACGGCGCATTGAGGGCTCAAGACTCAACTGCAGCGGTGAGATGGAAGGGCAAGAAAAGAGTTCAGCACAGAGTCGACCATTTGCAGATGCTCGTAGTCACATCAGCTCCAGACATGCATCAAACAACCATGCAATCCCGTGCAAACCGCAACGGTCAAAAGGAAGGTGCAGCGGTGAAATGGAAGGGCAAACAACGTGTTGAGACGGTGAAATGAAGGGGTGATGAGAGAGAAGATGGAAGAAAAAGACGAAAGGAGTCATCTGTGCGGCAACGCAGTTAACAAGCGAACAACATGCACAAAAGCACGGTGTCAATGAGATGGAGAGGACAGGAAAAGTCGAGACGGTGAAGTGAAGGGGTGATGAAGACTTTTGAAAGGCAACCGGCAACAACAGAACGCGCATGACAAATCATGCAAAATCTTTGGACGGCTTTTTTTACGACCTGTGGCCTTTGAGGGCGTTGATGTATGGCCAGTCCCCCGAGGACCCGTAATCAGCCTCTAGGTTGGCCAGCGGGTGAATTCCAGGCCAAAACCCGCGCCCCTCGATGTTTCTCGGCTCGAGGTATGAAAGTTTCGCAGGCCAAGCCGCAGCCACCGTCATCCTCTTTGCTGCTTTGTTGCTTCCGCATCTTGTGTTGTCAGTGTTGTCTGTCTCTCAATACTTCCCATCAGATTCCGTAGCCCCACAAACCCTGCACCCCTGCTTCATGTGTGCACGCAGGCACAGAGACCCACCCTCCCACACACACGCACATGCAAACACATGCTTCAAGTTTGGACGTTGGAAATTGCTTAGTTGGGAAGTAACGGCGATGATAACCACACACAGCGAGGATGCTAGCTGCTAGCTGCAATTGCATGCGCAGATGCGCAATAGAGTTTTAAAGGCACGGGTCTAAGCAGGGGGCATCGAGCCGTTATGAGGCCTTGCAATGACCTCCACAGGACCCGGTGCCTTGTCGCGGGCTTCCCGTCGCTCCTTTCGCCGCCTTGGATTGAGGGGCGAAGGTAAATTCGAAAGTGGGATTGGGGTGTCCTCGATTTGATTACGGCACTATCAGAATCATCATACGAAGGGGGCCATAATCCGGCAAGAGTCCGATGGCCAGCAAATGCACAATCACGGCCACAGAAATTGAAATAGCTGTACTTGCGGTGGGCACAACAAAAACCCGCGGAGATCCGATGTTTTGTTTTGCTCACGGGTGAAAAAATCCAACAGCTGCGAGGCGCTGGTCCCGAAGAAGCTCCCGTTGCATGCCCAGCTTGCACTTCAGCACATGGAGCCTCCGAGACCACTCCCACACTTGTTGATTACACCTCCTCATGTTCTGCCAGGGTGCGCGGAAGACCCCAGTCCCGAAGACTCACGGCCTTTCGAAGAGGACGCCCTTCTGATCCTCTACGATTCGGGGCCAGAGCTTGTCCAGAACCTCGGACTAGCTCAAGGCCCCTCCTTTTTTGTGCAGAACACAACCTCCAAGGCCCCCCGGCTTCGACGGAGAGCGTTAGCTGGAACTCAGCTTTCGCGAAGGCCAGCACCTGCCCCAGAGCTCCGCTGAGCTTTTGTTCCATGGGGCGCCTCATGCTACGGGTAGACCTGGGGGGCTCTTTTCCATGCACAAAATGCCGTCCTCCTGCTTGGAAAGCATCTGGTCGCCATCCACATCGTACTTGTTGAAGAGGTCCTCCATCCGGTGGACAAATTTAAAACAGCTCTGACTCGCACCAGCCTAGACATCCGAAAAAACGGTCCTAAACTGACCTGATTTCAACTATAGCCCAAAAGCACAAGCAACACCCAACACAACCACCCCGGCTGGCCCGGCCGTCCTTGAGCTTGGAGGTCTCTTGCGACGCCGTGGCACGCCGGGCAACCGCCAGCTGCACTGCTCGGGAGGCAGCAACGAGGGCATCGCTGAGCTTCGTGCACCTAAACGCCAGAAACGCGCTCCCAGGACCTCCCTTCGTCCAAAAGGCAGGCAACTCAGGCGGCAGCTCATTGATCCGCGAGAGGCACTTCGCCATGAGCTGCTTGATCTCCGAGGTGCCCACAACTGCGGCAGAGGGTGGATCCTGACCATTGGATGCATGGAACTTCACTTCGAGGCTTCCAGCTCGGGCGCACAGCAGTGCTCCTTCATCTCCGGGCCGTTCTTCACCAGGAAATCCATCTCAGTACGGCGCATCTGGTTTTGCAGAGCAGTGAACCAAGCTATCTGGTGCAAGCATGTGAGTAGAGGTCAGTCTGCGTGTATCATACATGCATGCATGGACGCATTCTGTGTTCTGTCTGGATCCGTTTACAGCTGTCTGCAACTACAAGCATTCCTTTCCACTGCACAAATGGTCTTCCATGGCTTACACTTACACACGGGTTCCAAGGTGCGGACGCAATTCTTCACAAGTTCCCGGGTCTCAGTGCCCGCCGCCTCCACGGCCGTGGCACATTGGTCCACCTTTTCTTGTGCAGGGCAGAGGCATGTAAAGATAAGTTTCTCTTCTGTCTACCTATATACTAATAATTATATCTGCGTGCCTACCTGTCTGTCTATCGATGCATCTATAGAGCGAGAGAGAGCGAGCGAGAGAGAGAGAGAGAGAGAGAGAGAGATAGACAGAGAGAGAGTTTGGCTAAAGGCCGTACTGGAGTAGCGGCACCGTTGCCGAGGCTTTCCTTGGGAGCTCCCTGGAAGCCGCACGGCAGAGGGATGAAAGGCAAAGCGAACAAGCTTTGGAGAGCGTGTGGAGCAGTCTCGCAACCACAGATCAGCAAAGGCCAGGACACCGCCCGGAACAGAGAAACCAGGAGAGTGGCATGGCAAGCAGAGGTGAGGTGGTGGGATATCTCAGAGTCAGCTTCTCATATGGCCACATGTGCTGCAAGTTGCAGGGTGACATCTGCCACACGAGTGCTGGGGCGAGTGGACTATCCATATAGTGAGTGTCAAGTTTTGGCGAGGTCAAGGCTTGCCCGCCAATGGCCTTAGTTCCTGAGTTCAGAGCTCGGCCGGCAAATAGACAGGAACGTGCAGAAGTCGGCGAGACGGAAGAGCAACAGGACAATGTCTGACTGCACTTGTGTGCGTAGCCATCGGCATTCGGAGCCCGGGCATCATACCGGGCCAGCTACACGCAGGCTCGGCCGACAAGTCGCTACTCAGCAGCAGCTGAGGCCCGGGTACCCGGGCCATTCTTGCGGATAAGAGAATTTCGGCATTCCCTTGACTTCGACCGACGTGCTAGCAAGAGCAATATACATATATACATGCATACACTCTCACACACACACAGATAGATAGATAGATAGATATATATATATATATAGATAGATATAATATTAGCTGCGTATATAGAATGCCTGTGTAAACCCTCAACCATGGCAAGACCGTTCCAATACATTCCGAAGCTTTCCTGAAGAGCTCCCATACGTGCATACATACGTACATACCTACCTACCTACCTACAAACCTACATACCTACCTACCTACCTACCTACCTACCTACATACATACGTACGTACATACATACATACGTACGTACATACATACATACATACATACATACATGGAACGACAAGGAGAAATTGCTGTCATCAAAAGCGCGTCTGATGGTTCGTCGAGGCCGCCTCCTCCTGGCTCTGCGTGTCCCCCTGCTCCAGGGGAGCGCAGACCTCTTTGAGGCGCTCCACCTCGTCAAGGAGTTGAATCTTGAATTTGGAGGTATGAGTCGAATTTAGGATGTCTTTTTTGAAGGGTTTGAAAAGGGGGCTGCTGTTCGTTGGTATTCTGGCCGTTGGGGGTTTGGGGTTGAGGACGCAAATTGCAGGGTACGCCCAGTGCTGCTGTCATTCGATAGTCGTGTGCATCGTGACCCCTTCCGCGCACCCCGGTCTCGGCAGTATCCAGGAGCTGGCTGAGCTCCATGAGGAGCTCCTTGGGCAGACGACACAGAGACAGAGCACATGTGTTTACAGACACATGTGCAACCGCTGTACGAAATATAATATAACATTCTATACAAGTGCCCCAGCAGTAGAGGGGAGAGGTGAGACGCAGTGTAGGAGCAACACTAGCAAGGGGAAGGAAAGCATCGCGCTTTCGTCGCTGCACTCTCCTTGGCGCGCTGCTCCATTTCCTGCCGCTTCTTCTCGTCGGCCTCCTTCTTTTCCTGCGCCTTGCGCTTCGCCTTCCGACTCTGTCAGCAAATAAAAAAAAGAAAAAACAGCGCAGAGTACGGTGTGTCCTTCGGTGCGCAAAGGCCCATGCCTCGTTCAGCATCTCTATGCGCTTCTTCGCTTGGTCAAGGCACTTGTCGCTCTCCGACTTCATATGATCCTTCTGGCTTCCGGTGTCCTGACAGAAGCATGGAGTCACAGCAGGCGGACTGCGCTGCGTCGGACTCCGCTGGGCCTCGAGGTGCTCTTTCAGGCACTCCTCCAGCTCCTTCTCAAGCGCTTCGAGGTTCTCCGGAGTGGCTGCAGCCACTTTCTGGATGACCTCACTCACTGAAAACACGAAGAGTGCACTTCATATATCAAGGGGGAAACAGAAGGAAGGCCCGGGAATTTTTTGTCTCCCTCCGCTTTGCAAGCTCCGGCCTTCCGAACCATGAAGACGGCCTTGCCTTCCTTGATCCGTTGCTCCTGAAGCTCCTTCTGCCGCTTCATCTCTTCCTGTGGGACTACATGACTTCTGAAGAGTATGGGAGACTCTTTTTCTAGGTTCTTGTTAAGGAATACGGAATAAGAGAACCATATTATTTCTCATAAATCCCTATTATGGTAACTTAAGCCAAATTCCGTAACAAGAACCCAGTTTTAGGATTGCAAGGCCGACGTCCAGGATAGGCCTCCTTCTTCTTGCGAACCTCCTCCTGCTTCTTGCGGATCTCTTCCTTCCGCTTCCTCTCTGCTTCTTTCCTCAGAACCCCCACGGAGTAGGCTGAAAGAAAGCCCGAACGAGAAGGCAGGCCTTTTCTGCTCCTCGGCTTTCTGTCGCTGAAACTCCAATTCCAACCTTGGTGAAATGGCAAAAAAGACGGCAGTGACACCCCGCAGCTCTGGCCCGAGTCCCGGCCTTCGCTTCGCCTCTTCCTGGTGCAGGCGCGCGTACTCCTCGGGGGTCCCACGTCAGATCCGGGCGACTTCTCTGCGCTCTGCCTGACAAGTCCTGCATGTGCCGCTCGGCCGCATGGGGGTCCATATATGGCATCCCAGGCATCCCCGGCATCCCATACCACATCGAATAAGCCTCGGGGCAAGTGGAGCGCTCGACCCCTTGCACCCTTGTGCTTGAGCTTCTCACTTCGCCGAACGCACAAACTCTAGCACCAGGCTCTTCCTTCAACCCACCCAAGAAGAAGCTGCTACGTCATGGACGGATGGGCCTGGAGTGGCTCTTCCGCCGGCTTCTCAGGACCCTCCTTTCCTCCCTTCACTGCCTTCGCTTCCTTTCCTTCCTTCTTGGCTTTCTCCTTCTTGGCCGTCACCGTGAAGCTCTTGTCCACCGGCCCATCGTAGGGCACCTGAAAACCAACAGGCTCTGTTTCAGCGCAGCATCGTAAAGAGGCTTCCTGAACCCTGACCGCCCTAACCTAAGCTCAAAAAAACCGTGATGCTTGTAAACCCAAAATGCAATCCAAATCGATCTCAACTCTAAGGTCAAAAACATATCTTAACCCTCGGTGTAAACTCTTAATTTAATTAAGAAGTCGAAAAAGGCCGCTTCCCGACTTCTGGGCCCCACCTTCCAGCCGGTCTCAGGCGGGGTCGGGTCCTCGCCGGGCTGATACGCCCAGACCTCTGTAGCTTCACTCTGCAAGCAACAAGTCAGGCAGCGCCTCTACTACGGATCCTCCTGTGCATGTTAGTGCTATTTTTGGCAGAAGAGGCATTACAAAGAATGCTCTAGTAGCTGCTCTAGTGTCTCGCATGTTCTCCTGTTCTCTGCATTCGCGGCGTGAGCAAAGCTTCCCAAAGACCCCAGAGACGGCGAACTTCCAAAGACCTCGATCCCAACACCTCTCCTCACAAGAACCCCCCGCCCCCCCCCCCCACTGATAGAGGCTTCTTTACTGCTGACTTAAGTAGGAAGGAGAGCAGGAAGCCCGGGGCCAGGCGGAGAAAAAGCCGCTCAGAGCCCTCGAGCGGGCGCCTGGTCGCCGCCCACCTTCGGTCCGAACCACCAGCCGGAGAAGTCGGAGCCGTCCCGGTCGTCCCAGAAGTAGAGGAGGACCTCATCTCAAGGGCCTCTCTCTTCTTCTTGCGGGGCGGGGGGGGGGGGAACACGGGCGAATGCAAACATGGTCCGCTGGTTGGCTTGGAATTTAGGGCGGCTGCAAAGGACATTTAAAAAACACACACACAGTGCAGCTCGAGAAGAAACCGTCTTCCTCCGACCGCAGATGCAAGACACACTTGTCGTGGCACCTTCGTGTTGCGTGGTGCTTGCCCCCAACTATCGAAGCTCTGCTCTGGGGGTGTCTTGAAGACCGGCTTCCCAGGCGTGCTACAGGAGTTGAGCCACCACGTAAACAACAGGATCTGAGAGGGGACAGCCCACAGCAGGTGCCCTGAGTCAAGGACGTCCAAGTCATTGAACTTCTCATCCTTTTGGTAATACGGCCTTGCGGTGCACAAGTTTCAAGATACCTGGACCTGCAGTGAAAAGCTTACGCCAGAAAGGCCTGCCGTGGTTTTCGCCAGCAAACCTGAAACTGCCACGTACGATCTTCTTGACCATCTTATCTTTCCCACCAGAGACCACGAGTCCTGGGGACAAGTCTGGCGCCGAAGAGCCTGCAGAAAATGCTAGAAGGACTTTATCTCGTATGGTATAGTATAGCAAAAAGTATAGTATAGTTTAGTTTAGTGTAGTAATTATAGTAGAGTATCATATAAACTTTAACATAATTTGACTGGTCACTAAGTAGTATCGTCTAGCATCCGCGGGATCACAGGCGAACTGCGAGGTTCCCGGGTCCTTTTGGCCAGTTCATGGCATCACTGTCTCGAGCGGGAGCTGTGGCTTTCTCTTTGGCCACCTCGTTTTAGAACCGTTTGCAAGGGGCCCTGGAGTAAGCCCCTAGAAACCCTTTTTGCAACAGGCTTCGCACTTCGCCTGGGGTCGGCTCCCACATCAGTTGTAGCAGCAGGACAGCTCTCAGAGCCCCTAGAAACCCTAAACCCTAAACTCTACATCTACACCCCAAGCACCTGAAGTAAGCCCCTAGAAGCCCCCACCTTGGTCTTGCTCTTTTTGGAACTTGCAGCCGGCTCCTCACGCTTGGCCTCCAGCAGAAAAGAGAGGACACTTGCGCGCAGCTTCCGCTTGAGTGCCTTCTTGGAAGCTCCATAGCCAAAGCCGGGATATTCATACCTTGGCAAGACACACTTTTAGAACGTGCTTTGGGGTCTAGGGTTTAGGTTCTAGAATGTGTGTAAATGTGTGAAGATCTCCATGTCATCTCCCTCTCTCCCTCGCTCTTGCCCTCCCTCTCTCACTCACGGACCAACCTATGCATCGCGCGACCTTTTCTTGGCTCATAACTTCAAAATCCCGAAAAGCCAAGCTACCTACACGGTGGGTTCGTTCCATTGAACCTCCGGAAAGCTATCCGTTAGAACTTGGAAACCATGTCTAGCAGTTTGTGACTATCTGAAACCTTGATTGCATGACATATACCGGTAATGCATGATATACATACGTCTGGAATGTGAAGCTCCCACTCGTTCACATCCTTCCGGGCCCCCAGGCGAAGACGCGGAAGCCGCAGAGGCCGGTGTCAACACCGCATGGCCAAAGCCCGGCAAGGCCCCGTAGGTGGGAAATGCGTACCTCTGAGACAGAGACATGGTAGAAGGGTGCTACTACTGAGACTACTGTGTTTTAATTTCGGTTTGGGGCTGAGGGCTTCGGGAAAAGAGTCCTGCTGCTTGTCCTAGTCCTCATGGAGGGCAGAATGTGACTTCTACATTACTTGCGAAGGAGGAACATCTCCTGGCGCAGTGCCGCGTGCCCACACCTCAGAATCTCTCAGAGAGACACAGGAGAAGTTTGGAGCCCAGGTCCGATGAAGGGGAACTCTCAGAACCCGGCTGGGAGGATCGCCAAGCTCGTGCCCAAGCATGTCTTTGACCCCACTGGCCGAAACAGCTGCGGTGTGGGCACATGAAGCAGTTCAAGGAGCGGTCTTCTTCAATTCAGCAGCCTTATCGACTCGTGCCTTTCTTCGCTTAAATCTGAGGCCTGGACCAAGGCGACGGCACCTTGCAGCAAAACTGCAGAAGCAAAGAGCACCTACATCGATTCTTAGACGAATATATTACATTATATATTATAGTATATATTTGTCATCATAGAAGATTATACTATATTATATCATATTATGGTTATATTTTATTGGATCTTACACAGCTTCAGATTCAGGAGGCTTCTGTCGGGTAGATGGGCTCCTCAGCCTTCGACTTCGCACGCCGCCCACCAGGGAGGACCGCAGCCCCCGCGCCGCCTCCGGCGTTGTTGATGATATAAATCCTGCATTACCTTAAGGACCCTAAACTATGGGAGTTATGATATATATATATATGTATGTATATATATATATATTAACTTAAGGACCCTAAATTATATGGGAGCTATAAATATATTCCTTATCATGGAAAGCCGGGCTCTCGGGCGGGCTCTCGGGCGGGCTCTCGGGGGCCGTGAGTCTTTAGGTTTAGCTTAGGCCCAGGTTCTGGTTCCCTGTTGGGGATATATTTTAAAGATTGATCCTTTTGAATCCGTATACAGTATTGGGTTGTTATTATAACTGATCATGGTTAATCCTTATTGGGTCTTATTTTTAGCAAAAGTGTTTAAATTTGTATCCAACAAGGACCCAGGTTTAGGCTTTCGGGGTTCAACCTCGAGCACAGGAGAAATCGGCGGGCTGACGACGGGTTTGGAAAGAATCGGCGAGGGCCCTTAGGGGACCCAGTGCAAAGTGGGCTGCTTTCGCTATGAGCTCCGCATGTCGGTCTGCACGCAGCCCTCGGCGAAATAGACGTGCGGCACTGCCCCGATCTCGGCGGCCGTCTCACCAAAGAAGGAACGGGAGAGGATCACGACCTGCGCTGAAGCTAGAAGCATGTAGGCCACGTAGGAGTCTTGGAAGCCTTGCAAGCCCAGATTGGCGTGGGACCGGTCCACGTGGGCCAACTTCCAGCCCTTCTCCGCCTCCAAAACCCGAAGCTTCCCCGAGTTTCGAAGAGATTGGACTTGGGGCATCTCAAGGGCTTCAGTGGTGTCAGTGCTGAGAAACCAGGGCGTGCTGGAAGGCATCTGCAATTCACTTTCGGCCACTCTCGCGCAGTCGAGAAACTTCTCCAAGCTTCCGAGAGAATGCCGAAACGGATCCCACCAAAGCCGCGCAGATTCGTTGCCAGCACGGAAGTGGATGCCCAAGAAGCCCCTCCCCTTAGGGCCCCTGTTTCCATCGCTCCAGGGAAGCGCCATCTCTGAAATTCCAAGCTCCTCTGCTGCTTGCTGCAAGCGTTGCTGGAGCATGTTCGTGGGCTGGAAGAGGGTGTCCCAAAGCCTCGCAGCGAGGTGGGAGACCTGCTTCAGCTCCATCTGCTCGGCTTGCTTCCTCAAGAGCTCGTGCGCCTTGGGCGAAAGCAACCGTCCCCAAGATCCCTCGTCAAGCCCAAAGAGTAGAGTAGGCTCCCTCCGAGTTTTCTCTTACACTACCCGAGCCCGGGGCCAGGAGGACTTTCAGCTCGCGATGGTTCATGGAAACCTGGAGAATCGGGCTCGGGTCTTCCAGCAGCCAGGTCAGATCCTCCTGGAAGGAGATGCGATCATCCAGGTAGAAGAGATGGGCGCCTTGGCCGATGGAGCCCAAGGAATGCATCCGCCAGTCCAAGATCGCCTCACCAGACGGCCCCAGGCGCGGCTGGAGCAGAAGGGTCAAGGGCAAGGGCGAGTCAAAGTCGATGAAGAAGGCGCGGGAGGTCAGCAAGGCCAGGGTGAAGGCGGAGAGAATGCCATTTGTGCGGTCGCCGTGGCCACCACAAAGGGTGAAGGGGTTGCACACGTAGACCAAAGCACGACATTGTGTCCCAGCTGCCTCGGACGCCGAAGCCCGGCTGATGCACCGGCGGTGGAAATCCAAATATGGGCCCAGGAAGGGGGAAATGCCATGGCGTGTTCGGAGGTCTGGCAAGGGGCCTTCTAGCTCCACATGGCCTTCCTTCCTAGGCCGGAAGAAGGTCATTGATCTCTCCTCGACCTGGGCCCAGCGGATCAGCCGCGACAAGAGCTCTTCCGTCACCGCCTGGCTGGCGTTTCGGGTACTTTGCCGGAGGTCCAGGCAGGCCAAACGCAGCGGCACTACGACGCCGAGCTTCTCTCCCAGGTGCTCCCTCAGAACAACCGAATTGTCCAAGGTGGCTTGGTGCCGACGCCACAGGACTTCAACCCGGCCCTTCTTGACGGCACGTGCCCGTCTTGAGAGCTCGCCAGCGTGCACGGGACGGTAGTTTGTCTCCCAAGCTTCGCGGAGAGAGTCTTCAAGGAAGAGCACCTCTAAGTCTTCCATGACCTGCGCCAAGGACATCGCCGCAGCCCAGGCTGCTTCCATCTCCTCCTGCGAGGTACGGTTCGAGAGGAGGAAGGCCACGGCGGTGGCGAAAGGGATCGGCCGCTTTGAGGCGGCTGAAGGAATCCCTTGCCGGAAGTTCGGCCAGTGCCAGACCTTTCCTTGCACCAACGTCGCTTCTTCGGAGCCCCAGAAGACTTGGGATCCCCCTTGGAGGAAAGCGTGGTCTAAGCTGGCTGTCAAAGCCTTGAGCTGGTACACCAGCTTGGCCAGAAACCGTGAGAACAGGATGGATAACCGATCCACCCAGACGTGCCAAGTTCTCACTTCTCCTGCTCGACGTTGGTAAGGGTACGCCACATCGTGCGCCAAAGCACGCCGGTCAAGATCTGAGGGTATGTAACCTGTTTGGGACGCTAGGAGGGGCAGTTGGAAGCACTCTTGCAGGCCGGACTTTGCAGCCGACTCTTTAGACACCAAATCATTTCTCCGGATCTCTCTTGCAGAGGATCGTAACCGAATCTGGAGATTCACAAGCCGCTCAAGGTAGCGTCGCTGCGTCCGGAGGGACAGTGCCCAGGACTTTCCATTCCGATGCAGGAGGCAATGTGACCTGCAAAGCACACAAGGTCTCGCGGGCCCAGAATGAGCCGGAACCGCCTTACGATAAACAATTAAAAACTATAGCAGCGAGAAACAATTATTCTTACAGAAGAACACAGGCGAACATCTGCCCGGGCCAGGTTGCAAGCCTCAAGGTGAGCAGAACACTTTCGCGCTGGAGGCTTATTCCTTTGAGACCCAAGGGCAAAGCCACAAGCTGTAGAGCTTCTAAGCGATCGACGAAACGCCCTCGCATCATGGGCTGGCAGGGGCTTTCAGATCTAGAACGGCCGAGACTCTCTTGAATCTGTCTGGCATAATCCCTCTGCTGCTCCATGGTTTTCACTTTGAAATCCAAGACCAAAGCTGTGTATTCCAAAACCGAATCTATCTTGTCCAGGCTGCAGCATGTCTTGTCCGCTCGAAAGCCTTTGTCTGAACCAAGTCGTCTCCAAACGTCAGCGGCTTCCTGTGATGTTTGGTACCGGCCCATCTGACCACAGTGGAGGTGTAGTGGCAGTAGTCCAGCCCATCCGGTACTGCAAATGCAGGCCCATGGCACCCAGCGTAAGAGTAGCATGAGCTGGACTAATCCGAAGGAAGGATCTGCAATGAAGGCTGAGGACCAGAAGCAAGAATCACAGAAACATGAATGACACGAGCGCACGGTTGATGACAGACCTGTCTTGGCTGCGGCTGAAAAGCCCACTGGGGATCCAACATCTCTTACAGTCGCTGGCATTTTTGCTATGACCTGTGAGATCAACGGCTTCGATGCTGGAGCAGCAACACGGCAAAGCTTCTGAGACTTGGGGCAAGACCTGCACAGGAAGTTCCTCGTCTCTGCCTCAACAAAATTCAAAAGCTAGAGAAAGCTGCAGAACAGTCCTCCTCCCGGGCCCCTGACCTGTTGAAGCTACCATGGCCCGGATGATGTTGAGCCGGATGGGCCTAGGGAAGGCCCCAGTCTGTCTCGCAAAACAACCATCCCAGATTTTCTGAAAATGCAGGTAATCTCAGCTGGTCTCGATGCATTCTGGCTGCGCCTCAGCACTTTTGAAGCAAGGCGCGGCCATCGTGCACCAAGTGGAGCGCAAGAAAACCTCAAGTGCCGAACTCCCGAAGAGCCTTGGTCAGGTGTCGCTCCACGGTTGTCGCCTAAGATCCAGATCCCCCCGAGCCATGGCCATAAGCTCTGTAACACAAGCTGCTGAAGCAAGGCCCCGTTCGGTTTATGAAACTGCCTCAGGCATGCAGTCTTTCGTCTCAGGAACGGACAGCCCGAGAGTCCTCAAGGAACGTATCAAAACGGTCTTTCGTCTTGACGGACTAAAGTCATCATAGGGATTTCTTGCAACTCTTCGGGGCATCGCTGGGAAAGCCCCTTAACACCAACACCTGCGTGCCACCTCCGTCGACCAAAGCGCGGCTTTGAAGGCACAGGCCCCTCTGGCGCATCTGTGGCGCGGGCAGAAACCAGCACAATTCGCTTTACGCCTCAGAGTGGGAACATCGATGAGCCAAGGCTGACAAAGCATGCCAGGGCCTGAACGGCTGAAGGTTATCAGGGTCACCATATCTCGACCATGGTGCTTGAACTCGCAACCACGCAGTGAATCTACTTCCCAGAATTTTCAAAAAACTACCCTTGAGGGGATTTTCTTGAACCCAAAGTCGACAGAATAGCCTGCCATTTCCGACTGAAGGTACCAGATATTAACAGTTACGGGGCATTAGGGTTTTTGGGCCATGTTCACCCGCTGATTCTGGAGTCCAGACCCTTGCACACTGGCAATTAACAAACATTGCAAACAAATGCAAGACGTCCTTACATCCCCCATAAGGAGCCCCTCGTGTTGATGACCAGTATTCATATGGGGATCAGCGTCACCATCGTTCCTTTTTTTTTTTTTGGGGGGGG